TGCAGGTGAAGCTGATGGACTCACGCATACCGGTCTTGAAGACCAGGGCTGATATTCCCAGCTCGTACAAATTACCTATGTCGCCACAGTCCTACAGTGAGGCTGTGCAAAGTCAGCCAAGTGGATGTGGCTCCACCCCTGTTAACATGACTAGGTTAACAGATCCGAGTGGGAAAATTGCACTAAGTGAGAACTGCATAACACCCATCCCCATGGTAGACCATGAAACAAATAGGAAGGCCAAAAAGAAACGTTCACGACGTCGCAAGACGACAAGAACGCTCCCCAAGAAGACAGACGACTGCAAGGTCTGCGCTTCTGTTGTCGAACAAGCAGACTCTGCTTTCGAATGTAACTTTTGCAAGCGATGGGTGCATTGCAGATGCGACAATGGGGTACCAAAAGCATATTATGACTTTATGCGTAAAAACCCATGCCAATGGTTCTGGTACATATGCCCGAGTTGCCGTCCTGATGTAGCCTCGCGTAGTCCTTTGAAAACTAAAGATGGTGCAGAAGTAGCGGGGAAAAATATGAAATATTCGACCAGCACCAATCCGGAAATTAGTACAAATGCGCGTAAACCGGGGATACCAAAATCCTCACCGGTTAAACTTGTAACTCTTGACATAACCGCTCCAGACACAGAGGCTGGAGAACCACGGGTTTCCGTCGTTGGAAAAAGACCCCTCTCGTCTGCCAGTAATATTGGCCACAGCACTGAGACACAAAAATTACCCAGTCGAACCAGACGAACCAAAACGGTCTTAAAGGAAATCACAAATGTGCGAGGACCGAGCCCAAGCCCACGGTTAGCAGATCAAATTGTGTAATCCTCTTTAATGTACCAGACTGTAGCAGTAGTCTGCTGAAAGATAGGGCCCTATTTGATCAGGAACAGTGGTCCATCTTGTGCAGCACACTGGGTTTGGACATCCAACCAGTAAATCTATGCAGATTGTATAAGGGCACTGCTGCACCTGAAGGCAAACCATCCCCACTGAGGGTAACATTGGGCTCTACCGAGGATGTTGAAAAAGTGTTACTGGCTTCTCAAGTCCTTTCTATAGGGAGGGCCTGTAACATACGTGTTAAGCCAGACAGGCCGTGGAAGGAAAGACAAATGGCGAGGGAGTCGCCAGAGCTCATTCCTTCTGCCTCCATGGTTGTGCATGGCATTCCCGAACTGGTAACTGGGAACGCCTGCGAAAAGCATTGTCATGATGTACAACAATGGAGATGGTTGGCATCCCAGATGGCCCTGGGAGTTCAGGGGCTGTCTCTATTTATAGACTGCCTCGACCCACTCATCTTATGTCAATTAACTCGCCACGTCTGTTAGCTGTCAAGTTCAGCTCCCAAGACCAGTTGACTACCGCTCTCCATAGATGGTACGAGACCAAGGACAAGGTCAGCAAACACATTCGCTGCTGCGAGAGCCGGCCTCGCACTCAAAGGAGAGAACAAAGCGTAGTAAAAGAAAATCCTCAACCCCTAGTCACACTACAGCGGTGCAGCACGGACGATGATAGCCAGTGTCATCCGAGTGCTCCGACTGAACTAGAAGAAAAAAACGCCAACAGGCCGGTTCCTGGGGAATCGGCCAACTAGTTCGTAGGATAACTCCTCAACCGATAGCCAATATCAAGTCAACTACCCCCCAATACGGGGAAGTGGTGAGACTGACTACCAGTTGCCTGTACAGTAATGTGAGAGGGCTAAGAGGCAAAATAGCTGAACTTAGACACCTACAATCACAACTGAACTCCAAAATCATAATACTGACGGAAACCTGGCTAACCCCTACGGTGGCAGACAGCGAAGTCAGTATAAATGATATGGTCCTAGTCAGGCGAGATAGGGACCTGAAAGAAGGAGGTGGAGTCGCCATATACGTCGACAAACAGCTCAGATGTGTTCACGCGATGGACCCTCCCCTCACAGAGCTCCCTGACTCCATATGGTGCCACTTCACCGTTGGGTACTGCAAATATCTAGTGGGCAGCATTTATCGATCACCTTCATGTGGAGCAGACCACAACCAGGTACTGCTAAATACAATCTCAGCAACTCAAGACATGGGTTATGATCAAATTGTCATAGCTGGTGACTTCAATGCCCCATCTCTTAACTTGGTGTCGGGAAAAGCCCATGATAGATTTGATCGAAATCTGCTGCATACCATCAGGAAGGCTGGATTCACTGAAAATGTCAAGATGGATACTAGATGGGGCCCTGATGGGAAGTCTTCTAGACTGGATTACGTGCTCACTAGTGACCAGCTACTAGTGGAAAACGTTCAGATCACGACTCCCATAGGTAGTAGTGACCACGCGGTCATAGTATTCGACATAGTCCTCCGCGAGCGCTTACAGTGGGACAATACACAGCCCTATCTGTGTTATAACAAAGCCAACTACACCAAAATGCGAAGACTTCTGTCTGAAGCAAATTGGCCTAAAAAATGGACAGAGCTAACAGTAGAAGAACACTGGAGAGTGGTAAAGGAGATCATTCACCAGGCGGTCTCAGACACTGTTCCTTTAGTCACACCAAAAGCTAGGAAGCAACGATCATGGCTGAAAAGGGGGACACAACGCCTTCTGCAGGCAAAGCGAAAAGCCTGGTTTGCGTGGCGACGATCGAAGAGTCAACCCGAACATGAAGTGTACCTTGAACTCAGGAATCGATGTAACATACGAGTCCGGAGCGATAGAAGGACATTTCAGGGAGACCTCGCCAATAAGCTTCTCGTGAACCCCAAAAGCCTATACAGGTTTATGTCCGAAAGAAAACCGACCAACCAGGGAGCATGCAATCTAGTGGGTTCTGATGGGAAATCTCTTACTAGTCTTGAAATGGCAGAGACATTCAGCCTAGCCTTTCACAGGCAACTAAACAGTAACGAGGATATTACCCCTACAGAACATCCAGATTACATCGCAAAACCAACACGCGAAAACCTGCTGGGTACATTTCAAATTACCCCGGCTATGGTACTTGCAAAATTGGGAAGGTTGGCTTCGGGAAAGTCTTCAGGTTGTGATGACATCAGACCATCTGTCCTGAAGCAGTGTTCAGAAAGTCTCTGCCAACCCCTAAGTGATCTGTTCCAACACTCCCTTGATGTAGGGAAACTTCCATGTGAATGGAAACGTGCAATCCTATCCCCTATCTTCAAGGGTGGTGACCGGCAGAATGTGACCAGTTACAGACCAGTTGCTCTACTTCCAGTGATATCGAAGATATTGGAAAGTCTCATTGACGACCACATGAGAAAATACTTCGATGGGACTAACCTTCTTCACGAAGCACAGCACGGTTTCAGGAGGGGAAGATCCTGCGTGACGAATCTTCTACTAGCTTGGAACGATTGGACACTATCCTGGGACAAAAAGGTACCAGCCCACGTGATCTTTCTCGACTTTGCGAAAGCATTCGACACAGTTCACCATGGTCTGCTCCTTCACAAAATAAGCAAGGCGGGAGTTTCTGGAGCACTTCTCGCATGGCTGACAGATTACTTAGGCGAGAGAGAATTCTGCACCAAAGTCAACCGCATCCGATCATCCTGGCACACCTCGGCATCAGGGGTTCCTCAGGGTTCTATCCTAGGGCCGTTGATGTTTTTGATTTTTATCAATGACCTGCCCCCCCAACTAAACTGCTCTGCGCTTCTTTACGCTGACGACGTAAAGATTTGGAGAGCAATAAACTCATCGGAAGACTCAGATAGATTGCAGGCTGACCTGCAAACTCTGGGAAACTGGGCTCTGGCTAACGGAATGCCTTTCAACCTAAAGAAGTGCAAAGTAGTGCAACTTCATTCCGGCAGGTCACAGAGTGTAAATTACACCCTTGGTGGCCAGAACTTGAGTTGTGTTCCATCAGAGCGTGATCTAGGTCTTATTCTAACAGAAAAGCTAGACACCAGTGGAAATTACTCGAGGGACGTCGCCAAAGCCTACGCAACTTACACTTTATGCATAGGCAGCTGGGAGCTCTCACTCCCGAACTGTTCTTAAGGTTATATAAGGCATATGTGAGGCCACACCTTGAGGTGCATAATATCATTGCACCTCCGCTACTCAAAAGGGATGCTAACATTCTAGAAAGTGTCCAGAGACGAGCGACAAAATGGGTGATCGGCCTCCGCAACAAATCATATGAGGAAAGACTAAAGAAATTAGGTCTTTTCACACTTAGTTACCGTAGGCACAGGGGAGACCTCATCACCGTCTACCAAATCCTAAATGACCAGGCCCACCCAAATAAAAGCATCCTGCCATTAAGTGATTATAGGCTTCCACGAGGTAACCCGCTAAGGATAGCACACCAGAGACCAAAGACTCGAGTGCGATCACATTTCTTTTCGCTTCGTGTTTGCCGTCTCTGGAACGCTTTACCGGCGGCCGTGACTACAGCGCCATCTCTGGAGATTTTTAAGCGGAAGCTAGACAATCATGCAGAAATGCAAGGTTTGTGTCTCAATGGCTTATCCTCATAAAATTTGAAACCGAACTGTCAATGATAAGCGTACAAACTAAATCCCCACGACCTATTCTGCCTTCTCTCACTCTATCTTTTCCTTAGGTCACCTTTATTATTCCACTTATCTCAACCTATATTATCTACACTACAACCTATTATTATTATTACTATTCTGCTTTTATGACTACACCGAATGACCAACGGGAGTTAGGTCAAACTCCATTCACGGCAGCAATACAGTCCTAACATACTGCATACTACAAACCACATCTCGACCAATCCCCGCACCACTCCTCCTGGAGTCTACCAGAGCTAAAGCAGTCGAGTGGCGGGACTTACTACGCAGAAGCTCACCGAAGATCTGGAACCTCTACCTCACAATCAAGAAGCGAGCTCAAAGAAATCACTGGTTTATACTAGCTCGTAATCAGGATATTGGATATTGGACACTAGATATTGGACACGAGGGAACATTTGGCAACATTTTAATTGTCGCGATACTCCTGAGTATGTATTCTGAACGCCTGAAGGACTTGGAATACAGACGAATACAAGAGGAGTCTTCACTCACTAATTTCTCAAATGCTGAGGCAGGAGAAAACTACCAAGAATCTCATGATGAGCAAGCAGTGATTGCTGATAGTGGTAAGCTCTCTCATGAAACTAATTATTTTTAGGCTTCAATCCAGCTCTAGCAGGGATGGGTATCGGTTACGCTAGGTTACTTTAAATAAATTTGCGTAACGCTTTATTTAGTATGCTGCTGGAGTTGTTGCTGTCTCATCCTTTCGTTATCATCAGAAACCAGTGTCAAGTAATAGGATCAAGTCGTTATCTGCACTTAACGCCATTCTCACTAATACCTGTAGTTAAAAGATGTGTACAGTTCCAAGTAAACCATTAAGAAAGACTTACCACGTTTAAGGGTTTATCATTTTTTTCCAAAGGCTTAGGCAGTGTACTTATTGTACGCGGATTAAACTTCATGACAGAAAATTTGATTTGTGAAGTCACCTCACTACCGAAGTAGGCAATTTACATACTTTATACTCCTTCTAGAGAGGTTTCGAAATCCAGTCCATTCAAACGTCTGCTTGGACATCTGTTACTGAAAGTGTAAGTTACCCTTTTAGTTTTATTTGTGTTATAGTTGTTCATGGGTGATTGTTACCCCATTTTATGCAGCAAGCATTGTTGAGGTTGTTCAGGTAAGATATTTTTTTCCTTCGTGGCTTAATTTGTGATCTCTGTCTTTTATTTCTAGGAGAAATTATTGTTACTTCAAAAATATAAACTCAAGTGCCGTAGTTTTCGAAAGTCGTGTTTGCTTTGCGAAACTTGCCAGGAGATATACAAAGCTCTTAGAATTTTCTAGAACCGATAGTACATAATTCATGTGAGGAATTTACTTAGGCGAAATCGGGATTGCCAGCATATCTAGGTGCTTGTATGTAGTCAGTTGTTTCAAAGCAACTTACACTTCAAGTTTCATTGTATGACTTCTCGTTCTCATTACAGTCATTCCCACATCGATTGCCGTGGGCTCTAGAAATGACAGTTCTTTCTTATTGTATTGATATCCCAAGGATTCATAGTCAGCATGTTGAAGTGATGAAAAGTAAGAAGCTTTGTAGAGTTAGATCCTGTTTGTTCAGTAATTAATTTTTTATTGACATTTATAAAATAAATTGCTGTTAACAAGCGTCGAATTATTTCGTTCTCTTGAAATCTCGTAACATGTATTGTTCTGTAATACTTGCAAACGTGCTTTCTTTATATATGACAGGTAGCTGTTCCAAGCGATATATTTCCTACTTTAGTCAGTCACTTCTGAAGTTAAGAATATTTTGTCATCTGTATTAAGGTGAATGTTTTCTCTTTCCAGCCCACTATTTTTGCGCTATACTCATGTTATGGGAAGACTTGTGGTAGTCCAGTTTTCCGGGGCTAAAGTAGTTGGGATCAGACTCTTATTTAGCACTCGCTGCATGAAGGTGTGTTCGTAAGTAAGCGTTACATACCTTCATCATAAGACTAATTACATTGAGTTTCTAAGAGTTTGACTCAGCTATTTAGCTGCTCGAACATCAAATAATGCCCTGAAATTTTTAAAACTATCTTATTAGCCAATCGTTTTGCTATCGAGGTCTGTTAGCTTCTTTTCACTATTTAGTGTAGATGGATGGCCAAAAACTAAAGGGATCTGTAATATCAACGTCACCCTTTAAAATTCAATCAGTAACGCTCATATTAATCATACTCGATTGCAGTATCACTTCGTAGGCATATTTAAAAAAACTGCAGTGTTAATAATTCGGGGTGAATGCCAACCGACTCTAGAAAATACTTGGTATTAGTTTTTGCTGTACTCTTCACTTCACTGATGGGGAAATGGAGTCTTCTGAACGGTAAAAATGATTGCGAATATATGATATTTGCGTATTACCTCTTTAATGCAGCTTTTTAGTCATGGAAAAAACAAAACTCTACACAAAAATTTGTCAGTTTTAGTTAGAATGAGTAGATATAAGGTTTTATTGGTTAACAAAACGTAGACGGAAAGTCGATTTGACTCTTACCAGATGTGGTCAAACAAGACACATGACGTCACACGTTAGGTCCATTTGCATGGCATTATTTTCTCTCCCAAAATGGGAACTATATTTTAAGCGTAATGTTTACCTGTGTCTGGTTAGCAATATTTTTAAGTCACCGTTTCAAGGCAATGTGATGATTAAAGAAAGCATTTTAAGTGACATTTTGATGCGCGAAAATTAGCTGTGAATCTCTGTAGATTGAGATGAGGTATGAAAATAATGCTTTTAGCAACTAGTGATGTCGGCGTATGTGTCAGACTGAATAGCTAGGACAGTACGAATCTGTAAAGCTTGCAATTGTTTGCATGGAACTTATACTGAAGTTCAGATTTTCCGAGTTCGTGTATGCCGCTGTCAACCACATTTGATGGATGCCGAACTGCCCAGATTGGGCACCGCATAAAGATCAAGTGCCTACGTCAGTAAGCTATTTCTTCTAGAGTTCATGTGAGTATCACTCAAAACTGTAAGTAGTGCAGCGTATAAAACCCTATCAGACTTATAGTCACACCATCTCGATTTTGCATGTTCTATTATGTTTCTTCCTGCCAAATTTCTCTCTCTGCCTTTTATCACTATATTATGTACATATTTGTCCCAGCTTTGATATCTGTATGTGTTGGCAAAAGGTAACTATGATCAGAGAACGAAGCGTGTTAAATATTTCACAATGATATGAATCACATAAACAAATGAAGTAACACATCTTTTTATATGGGTGATATCAGGTCAGTAGATTGTTATTACTTGCTTCTATTCATTTCCTGTCGTACATGTTTTATTTATTGGTGTAACTTTTTTTCAGTCGGATAAAGCTTCCGAACCAACAACACTTCTGTCTTGTTTCCGGGATGGACTTTATCGATTAATTCACATGCCTTCATCCCCAAGACTAGGTTCAGCAGGTTCGATGTTTCGGAGTGGACCGACTGTAAGAAGTATTCCCATTGCAACGTCACGTCTGTTGCCTGTTTGGCGTCTTTTCGCACCTGTCGTTTTATTAAACGTCGGGCATTACGTTGTCAAATCATTTGCAAGCATTATTGCTTTATCTTATTGGAATGGATATGATGACCGTCTAGAACGAGATGCTGAAATAGATCTCAATTATAAGGTTAGTGTACCCCCAAACTGTCTTGCTTTAACTATTCTAAACTTACGTGCACTTATTTTTTTTGCAGTGTTGTTAGGAAAAACAACATGGAATATAATTAGTTTGTTGTATTTAACTCTTTCTTCTCGTCTGTGATTGTTGTAACTCAGTTGCTCAGAACATATGTCATGTTCTAGGCTGTGTACCACTCTTTATTGTATAGGGACTGATGATACAACTCAGTTGCACAAACGGAAGTGGGCAAAGTGGAACTCGAATCCGTAACCTGTTATCTGAAAACTGAGTGCTTAAGCTAATGAGCTATATGCATGATATTAAAAATGAACATCCAGTGTTGAAATGCATGAACAGGGCAACTTATTAATGGAGGGATCAGCAGATGTAGGAATAAACTAAGGATATCATTTGAGGTAGACCTTCGTGGTTTAGGGGTTCACGAACAAGTAGTAGTTTATCTTCTTTATTATTATAGGAATTTATTACTAAGACCAGTTTTGCTGTTCACCTTTCAGATCTGAATTTCAGTCTTTTAATGTTATACTCGCTTAACTGTAACTGTAGTTTGATACGTCTTACTAATAATTTCTTTTTTAACAGAGTTTTCATAATATTTAATCAAATAGTGTTCCGTAAGTACTCTGTCGAAATTTCCGTAAATCGTAAATCTGGTTTATGGAGTTCTATTGTGAATTTTTTCCTCTATTCACCTACTCACCATAATAATAATGACATTAAAATATCACTTTACAGGTTTTACAGTATACTAATTTTTATTTCATTATTGAAAAAGTATTTCCGACAGCCTGTGCATAAAACTGAGTTCTCAACTTAGAAATTAAGTGCAGCAGTTTAAGTTGCCACACTCCATATAGCACACAAAATAATTAAGTAAAATTACATGCTGGAAAAAGAATAAGGATACAGATACTAGTGAGGATTATATAAATCTGGTAGATGACAAAAAGTGAATGCATCTGCCACAATAAGAACGACTTAGATCTAGATCATCCACATTCTGCAACTGTTGGTTCTTAGTATCTTGCGGTTAGTCTGCAACTCCCTACCTGACCCAAACAAACAGTCAGTAGCTTTATGCCTTGTCGACCTAATCCTATATCAGCTAACATTGCTGATTTAGGAAGAAGATGACTTGACATTAGTAACACATGTCCTAGTCATCTCAGTAGATGTAACTTCACAAATTCATCGAGTGACTTTCATTCGTTACCTAATACTCAACATCTAACATCAATAATGTTCATCATATCATACGACTTAACACATGAGACAGAACGCAAAAACCCATGGTCAGGAGCAGCTTATCTCTTCGTATCCTCTGCTTTTGACGACCACATTTTATAGCTGTGAAAAAGGACGAGGCGAACAGTTTTTTAACTGATATGTTCTTCTCTGAATAACACGTCTCCACCAAAGATAACATAAATTGGCAAATCCCACACCAGCCTTTTGCATTTGTGCTGAGATTTCGTTAGCAATCAGTCCATTAGGTTTGATGCAACTTCCCGAATAAGTGAAGTTGTCAACACGCTTAACCATTGCATTCCTCATCTTTAAACCAGAAGTTGGTGCAGATCAGTTCAGTAGCATAATCTTACTTTGACAGGCGTGAATCACATGCCAGTCATTCGAAGATTTCTGTTTAAGGTGTTCAGAAGACTGCATTTTGTCAGTCAGCATCACCTAGGAGAACTATATAATCTGTCTACTCTAACTCAATGAGACTGTCCCTTGGTAACAAGTCAATCTCCAATCGGCTAATGTTGATAAATGCGTTTGTACATCGATGATGAAACTGAAAAAACGGTGACTGTCAATCCCTGATGGATACTTCTAGTTATTATCACTTCATATGACAACCCTGCATAAGTTCTTACACGGTAGCGTGAGTTCCAGTGGAGTGCCCTGACTGGTGAGACGTATTTTCCTGACACCCTTCATGGCCAGACATTGTTGGGTCGCCTCCAGGGGTAGGGAGTCAAATTTCGCTTTTGGGTAAAGAAATATGGCAATTATTTGACTCCTGTAAGTATGCTTATTTTCTATAATCTGTCGAAGGGAGAAAACGTGAACCTAAGGCCCTTCTGGTTTGACATGTTTGTATCTCTTGAACATATCTTAGTTCACACTTGGTTATGGAGCCTAGACACGTTATTATTCTGGCTAAATCCACTATGATTATCACAGCAAGACTTGTCTTTTTATAAGCTGTGAATAGCATTAGTCTAGAGGGACTATATTTAATTACAACAAATTACCTACTATTTTGCTTAATCCAGTCAAAAATTCATTACTACCATCCTTAAATAACACATGAGTCATATTATCATGTCCTTCAGCTTTCCCTTGTTTTAAATTATAGACAGCTTTAGTTGTAGTTGCAGGATGAATGTCTACATTTCACACTAATAGGCTTTAGATGGTGGCCAGTTTAGCGTTGCTGTAGTCCACTTAAATTGCTCCTGAAAGCGTTCCGTCTAATGTTCCAGTTGTCTCTCATGGGAGGTAAATAAATCACTGTTCTCCAAAATTGTTTCACTATTGGCTCTTAATAACTCGTTTCCTAATGAGTGTAAGTAGTTGTTTAGTATCACATATCGCTAATCTATTTTCCGTCTCTGGTTTTTATTGTCCAACACTGTTCACAGTCATGACGGAGATTTTCAGCCTGCTTACGTTTGAGCAGCTTCCTCTTCTCGTCATTTTTGGAGCCAGTGGGAATCAGTCTTCTCGTATTCCTCATTTTGAATGAAGCAACAGTTACCCACTGGCGTTTACCAACCTTGGGTTCTGGGTTGTTGACGTTCTTAACGGCTGTTTCTATGGCTGAGTGGATATTATGCCAGTACGGGTATTGCTGTCAGTTTCAGATACTCGTTTACGCGCTTCTTCCCTAAAGAGACACTTTACGTTGAGACTGCAGAGGCTTTGTGGCTGTGTCCGTTCAGTCGTAGACATATACATGCCCTGACTAGAAAGTGATCAGAGTCTATATAGGTGTTTGAGTAGGAATGGCAGTCTTCTACCTACCCTCTCCGTCATCAGTGTATAGTCCATCATCGTTTCGATAACGGTGTCCAAGCTAGGCAATGTTTCTCTTCGTGTTTGGCTGACCGACTAACTTTGCTCTTAAGTGCAGCAGTTCAAGTTGCCACTCTCTATGTAGAACACAAGAGGGAAGAAAGAGATTAGAAGGAACAGTAATAAGCAGAAATATGAGGGAGAAAGAGTAATAACATGGAAATGCATATGGCAGATTACTAAGAGTGATTGCATCTGCACCACAGAACGATTTTCAGCCTTACCACCAGTTGCCTCCAGCCATAGGTTCTTACCATCCCGAGGACCCCAACCAGGCAGCCAAACCTCCCTGCGTGGCTCAAACTAACTTGAAGGTTTTATGAACTGATATCATGTTTTCGTCTGATCACCACTAGCTCTTCCAACCTGATCATATTTCAGATAACATTTCCCGTTGAGGAGGGTTAGGCATGCGTAACACGTGTCCTAGCCATCTCAATCGATGTAACTTCACAACCTCGTAGATCTATTTTCTTTCGTTACTTAACACGCCTAACCTCAATATTACTTACCTCAATATATTCCCTAATTTGGGACTCAGCCTTGCGGTACTATTGACCGGAAACATGTGATTATCTGATCAAAACTGTAGATAATGGCCACTGTTGTTGGTTCTTCGTCGTGGAGCTCTATTTTCTTTATTCTTTTACGTTTCCAGTGAGACATAGGGCTTCAAGCTAGAGCTTTGGAGTTTCGGTAGCAGTGGTATTTGTTTTTACGGGATGGGGTTGCTAGTTTCATGCCCAACCTTCCCTCTCTACCAGTCTTATTACTAGATTAGGGAGGCAAAGGAGTGTGTCGGCCGGGGATTGAACCCTGAACCATCTGCGTCGTTTGCGAGCACTCCACTTCTTTATCACCGACTCACTGTGGGACTCCATAGGTGGCACCAATATTCTTCTTTGACTGACAAAGCTTCCCTACTTGAGCATTGAAGTCGCTTGCTAAAACGACTATATTTCGGCGTTTTTCTTCTAGCAGCAAACTAAACAGCTTTTGACATAACTAATCCTTTACTTCATCCGGTTGCGGAGAGTGGGCTGTAAGTTTTGGTGGATGAGGTCCTCTATCCTGACGTTGAGTGTTCCAGTAGGAAATTGGCAGCACTGTTTCAAGCGACGAATAGTATTTTCTGCTTCGGGTAGCTATTAATTGCTGTAGAGTTAAGAGACGGTAGAGAACCAACATGTGGAATAGTATCAACAGTGCCAATAAGCAAGTAGATTAAGAGGGATTTTGATTGGGAAAGATCTGTCTACTTATGGAAATGCATGGGCTGCTATTACATCCTGGTTACCCACACCAGCTTGCGCATAGCTAGTTGGAAAGTTATAGAGGAAAGTGAGTTCACTGTATTCTAATCCCTTTTTTAAATTCTACTCTCTTGTGCGCTTTACTTAATAAGTTAAAACCTTACACTTGCTAATAGTTTTCGGATGTACATGTCCATACGTTCATATATATATATATATATATATATATATATATATACTGTTAGTCTCACACATTTTATTGCAGTAATAGTCAGTTTTGTGTCACTGCTAACAGTTGTGATGCATAGTTTGAGTCGAATTGGACTTTAATCCTATACTGGTTCTCACACTAACAACAAGTGTTGTTATAGGATTAGCTTCAGTATCTATTGTTGCGAGCTGTGGTTACCAGGGAAGAATTTAAGCTAGTGATGTAGTAATTAGAAGTGCTTACACAGATCTGAAGCAGATCTCTAGTGTGATTATCCATCGCTGACCGTGTTGTAAATATCCTTCGAGAAAGGGATCTTAGATACGCAGACCTGTCACTCTGTGTAAAATGCTGCTTTGGTCTTTTGGCTCGTTGAAATAATGAAAACGGTCATTGTAAATAAATGAAGTACTGCTTTATTATTTACTTATTTATTT